GCACGCTGCAAACATTGATCCCTTACAACCAAGGCTTGCCCGCCAAACTGACCAATACGTTGGAGGCGACATGCAACAGCCACGATGATGAGCTGCTTTTCCCTTTGTATGCAAGCCCAAGTATCCCGAATCGTGTGTTGCACAAGCTCGTCATTCCATGCAAAGCCGGTGGTCCAGGTATTGCCAGAATTGAGCAAACAGTCGAAATGGACGGAGAGGGCACTTTGTGGTTCAGCTTGAATGATGCCACAGGTCGGTATATGCACCGGCAAATGAGGGAGCCCGTCACGACATACGAGGAGCTCCTGCACATCATCAAGAGGCTCCACAGTGGGCAAGAGAAGGATGCTGACAGACTAGCGCTGACACAATTGAAAGAGCTGAAAGAAAGACTCTCCAAAGGAGAGACAGAGCTTCAGTCAATGTCTCAGCGCCTGAATTCCTGCCTGGCACAACAGGAAATGCAGACCCCAGATGCCAAGCTGGCTTCAAACGAGGCAGTCGCGGGGCAAATGCGCCAGGAGATAGAGCCCAGCGCAGAAAAGGAGCTAAGAAATGAGCTAAGAGAAGGCGGAAGCGCGACGTATTGGTTGGCCTCGGTTACTGTGGCGTTTGCCCTTCCTTGGGTGCTGATGGCGTGTTGGCGCAGACGGGGCACTCCTGCCTTGGACCCGCCTGACTTGGGTGCCGTCTCTGCCAACTGCGGTCATTGCCACTGTCAGGAGTATGGCTCAGAGCGCTTGTGCAACGAACAGGTCTCAGCGAATCCTGAAGCCAAACTCAATTCTCCCGAGCGGAAACTGTGTCAGGAAGCTGACCAGCCTTTTTCTCATCGCATCGAAGCGGAGCTGAGGGGAGGCAGACGGACCCAGCGAGTAATCATCCAGTGCCCTGGAGTTTGTGAGTCTGACATCAACATCAAGGTGTTGTTTAACGGGGCTGAGGTGCGCATAGCACAGTCTGGCCAGTCTGGCCAGTCTGGTCCAGACGGCTTGCTTGCAGAGTGGGTGCATCGCTTCGTTATTCCAGCTGACGAAGGGCTTTTTGCCTTCGTCGACGCGCAAACTCGATTGCACCGAGGCTCACTGCAACTGTTTTTTCAAGAGCAGGACTTCGTGCCGCGCACTTTCCGGTTCCCGGAGCATTTTGACATGGCGTCTGACTCTGGCGATGAGAATGAGATTGAAGCTTACTGACGTTGTGCACGTCCGTTGACCTCAGAATGTGAGAGAAGACGGGCGCTGCTCTGCAATGTGGAGCAAAGGACGCCTTTCAAACTTCAAGCTGGCCTCATCAGAGATAAAAGGGCAGTCCTCTGATTATGAGCTGCCGAGGTATTGATTCATGACTCGGCACATGTGAAGCATGTGAGTGCCAGGGTTGTTTGCCGTCGCCTCGTTTGTGGCAAGCTCAGACAAGTGCTTCACGGATGCAAGTACTGCAGAGAGAAGTCAAGCATCAGGTTGTTGCTCCTTCCTTCAGCCCAGCAGGTACTGGGCAAGCGATCCACACAGTTTGTTTGCATGCCTGGCAGGCTGGCTTGCACGTAGAGCCTCAGGATTTTGTTTAGGAGGCGAGCTGGTTGGTACATGGCTGAAACATTAGTGTTGTAGTGCCGTTGGGTGCAATTGTCAAGGCAAATTACTTCAGAAAAGGTGGAGAGTTGCAGTGAGGAGATGTGCACGTGGGCTTGAGCCATCAAGTGTTGTGTGTGTGTGTGTGTGTGTGAGGATGGCCGCAGCCGCAGACATTGCCCAAGTTGATGGTACCAGTCTCAGAGCTGTGTGGGAGTCAAGCTGAAAAAGTTAGCTGCCACAAGGTGTCGACAAGAGGCGGTGCAGAAGGCTGAACAAAGCAGCCATGATGCAGGCAGATGCCATGGGTTCACTTCGTTAGATTGGGAAATGCTTAAGAAAGACGTTAAACATCTTGGACACTGTTGGACATACCGCCACTTGTTAATTGTAAACGCTTCGCGTTGCCCGCCTCAGCCAGTCCGCTTGTGGCTGGCTTTGAGGTACTGTGTTTTGGCTTGCATTGAAGGATTTTGGCTGCGCGACATGGGTAAGGGGCGGGGGTCAGGTGCCCGCCTTGGGCGAGGCGAAGGAACATCTACATTGTTTGTTGGCATTCCTTTATCCTTCATGCACTCAGTCACTCGCTCACACCCTCCCGCCCGCCCACCAACCCACCCACCCACCCACCCACCCTCCCAACCCACCCACCCACCCACCCACCCACCCAGCCACCCACCCACCCACCCACCCACTCACTCCACTCAACTCAACTCCACTCCACTCCACTCCACTCCACTCCACTCCACTCCACTCCACTCCACTCCACTCCACTCCACTCCACTCCACTCCACTCCTCTCCACTCCACTCCACTCCACTCCACTCCACTCCACTCCACTCCACTCCACTCCACTCCACTCCACTCCACTCCACTCCACTCCACTCCACTCCACTCCACTCCACTCCACTCCACTCCACTCCACTCCACTCCACTCCACTCCACTCCACTCCACTCCACTCCACTCCACTCCACTCCACTCCACTCCACTCCACTCCAATCCACTCCACTCCACTCCACTCCACTCCACTCCACTCCACTCCACTCCACTCCACTCCACTCCACTCCACTCCACTCCACTCCACTCCACTCCACTCCACTCCAACTCACTCACTCACTCACTCACTCACTCACTCACTCACTCACTCACTCACTCACTCACTCACTCACTCACTCACTCACTCACTCACTCACTCACTCACTCACTCACCCTCACTCACTCACTCACTCACTCACTCACTCTCACTCACTCACCTCACTCTCACTCACTCACTCACTCTCTCACTCGTTTACTCAGCCAGCCAGCCAGCCAGTCGGTCTTGCATTGTTTCAGTCTTTGTTCCGTTCGCTCGTTCATTCACGCATTCCGCGTTTCCTTCCTTCCTTCCTTCCTTCCTTCCTTCCTTCCTTCCTTCCTTCCTTCCTTCCTTCCTTCCTTCCTTCCTTCGTTCACCCCTTCATGGATTCATTTACTCACCCATTCATTCATGCATGCCTTCATGCATGCCTACATGCATCCATGCATGCATGCGTTCATGCATTCATGCATTCATGCATTCAGTGCGGCATTGATTGATTTGTTTGTTCGTTCGTTTGCATGCATCCATGCCTCCACCCGTCTGCTCGTACGTGTATGTATTCGTTTGTTCTTTCGTTCGTTCATGCGCATGCACTCATTCTTTCGTTTATTCGTTCATTTATTTATTCGTCCATTCACTCATTTGTTCATCCATTTCTCCGTTCATTTATTCATTCATTTGTTTGTTCGTTCACTTGTTCGTTCGTTCGTTCGTTGGTTCGTTCATTCGTTGGTTCGTTCGCTCGTTCATTCACTCACTCATTCACTCATTTGTTCATTCACCCACTCAAGCATCTATTTGTTCATTCGGTCGGTGTTGGTCAGTCGTCAGTCAGTCAGTCCGTCAGTCAGTCAGTCAGTCAGTCAGTCAGTCCAGCCAGCCAGCCAGTCAGCCAGCCAGCCAGCCAGCCAGCCAAGTCAGTCAGTCAAGCACAGTCAGTCAGTCAGTCAGCGAGTCAGTCAGCCAGTTGGGTCAGTCAGGTCAGGTCAGGTCAGGTCAGTCAAGCCAGGTTGGTTTGCTACCTTCACACGGTTCCCTGCAGCCAGACAAAGTTCTCCACCCTACGCGGGCAGATGGGAGCCAAGTCGCATGACAAGCGTGCCCGACCAGCGTGGGAAGAAGGAGGACTTCAAGCCGGGAGATGCAATTTATGCGATTTGGCACTTTCTGCCCCCACGCAGCAGCCTGCAGGCCAAGAGAAGGTGCCACATTGATCGGTCCCACCCAAAATGTTGCAGCTGACAGTTTTACACCTTGCACGGAAACAGAGGACGCCGCACAGTCTTTGAGCAGGGGCTTGAGGAGCTGAGAGGTTTCAGCCAGAGTCACAGCAGCGCGAAAATGCCCAAAGACAGAGGAGCAATGCTCAAGAGACTCAAGGAGGAGAAGAAGAACAGGCTGGTGGAAGAAGTTTTCAGAACAGCGCACCCTGAGCGTGCGCTTTTCTAGAGTTTTTTAATTACAAAGACACGATATGTTTGACACTTTTTCCCAACAACACAACACCCCGACGAAACCGAAAAACCAACAAAAAGACGTTAACAAGCAAGACTATGGCACATGTCATGTCCTGGCTTGGGGGGGAGTCTTGCTTTTTTGTGTTTTCTTTTTCTCGAGGGTTTTCACACTTTTCAAAAAACACAAAAAAAGGCGAGAAAACCGGAACAACACAAAAACAAAACAAAGACTAGGTCACATGTCCGGGGGGGGGGGGGGAGGGGGTAGTCTTGTTGGTTTTTGAGTTTTTTGCACAAAGTGCGAAAAACCTTGAGAAAACCAACAAGAATAAGACCCTGTCAGCTGTCCTGACTTGAAGGGACCTAATATGTTTTTGCTTGGTTGTTTTGAGTTGTTTTTTGTACTTTCCTGTTTGCAAGAGCTTCTGTGATCAAGTAGTTCACATCCACGCCCTAGTACGGTCAGGTAGATGGTTTCCTCTGGTTGGACTCGTTCCTTATTGCATGCTTCTTAGTTTTGATTAGAGTTATACTAAGCAAGAAACTAGAGATCCCAAGATTGTTAAGCTGTGAAATGCCTGCTGGTCTGCAAAGACAATTCTATTGGACAGGAAATCCTGTGTAGCATCCATTTTGAGGTAGAAAAACATCATTAAAAACAACATTTATTTATTTCTACGTTAACTAAAAACTTAGGTTTGGGTTCTTTCATTATTAGGTTCTGTTTAATGTGAGATAGGAATTCACTAGAACTTGATAAATATATTGAGTAGAATTCGGAAGGAAAGAACTTAGAGGTTCCGAACATGTTTAATACATGTTGTTGAGATGCTTACTGATTTGTAAGGACAATTCTATTGGAAAAGGATGTAGCATTATATTGAAATATTATTTTTCATAGTTGAAAACCTATTTTAAACTATACAATTTGATTGGAGTCTGTCTTTAATAATTTCTAGTTAATGCAGTTAGACATTGGGAAGAACTTGGTAAAGATATTAAGTAGATTTCAGAAGGAGGGAATTCAGAGGTCCTAAAATTGTGGTTTTTTGTGTTTACTTGCCCAGAACTACCATGGTCAGAAAACACCGTAAAACAGTGTTTTGTAGCATTTTTCGTACTCAGCTCACATCTCCAACGGCAGCTCTCTAATATTCAGTTTGAGTTTGAACAGGTTTTTTATAGGACTCAAAGGGAATTCCTGATCAGAATCTTACTGGGAATTACATCTTGCATGTAAAATTTAGATGTGAATCCTTTCCCAATAGAACACTGCAATAAATTAGAGTTTAAAAGTAATTTGACAAGGAATGAATCCGATCACAACTTCTGTTTCCTAATAGAATGTGAATTGGAATAAGTGGAGTTTCATTGATAGTTTACACAGTATGTTCTTTCCAACTGAATTTCTTTACAATTCAGCTGGCATTGAGGCACAAATTATGCAAACATTGTCCAACTCGAGTTTCCATTCAAAAAGTGAAAATAGCGCACGGTCACAGCGACTCTTTTTGGGGGTTGACCATGTGCTCGGCTTGGTGGGTTTCTGACCGTTCACCTCTCCCGGATCTTGTGCAAGTTGAACATCTCCCACTTGGCCTTTTTTGTCCTTGACGTTGGGTGAACTTGTGTCCAAAGGAACGCCCCGGGAATTGGCGGACTTGGAGCGATTGTTTGTGATGCACGCGTTGGGCTTGGCGGCGATTTCCTTGGAGCAACGTGTGCTGGTTGCTCTGTCCGGCATGTTGGAGCTTGGTGGCGGGCTTTCTGAATTTAGCACTGCCAGTTTTGGCTTGAAGGTTCCGTTGCGTTGCATCTTGAGACGTTTCCGCTGAGACACGCGTGGCAAGGCACACCATGAAACATGTGCGGTCAGTCAAGCCAGGTCAGTCAGGTCAGGCAGGTCTGTCTGAGACAGCTGGTCAGGTGGTCCAGCTCAGGTCAGATCAGGCATCTCAGTCAAGCAAGTCAATCGGGTGAGTCAGTCAGCGAGTGAGTCAGTCATTACACTCCTTGTTTTCAACGTAATTTTTGGTCGTTGGGCATTTGCACCAGCTTGTTCCTCGGACTTTCATGCATATTTTTTG